TGATTTCCATCCTCTCTCTCTCTCTCTCTCTCCGTTTCTCTCTCCCTCTTCACACAGACACACAGAGGCATAAATATAGGTCTAGTTATATATGTCTGTGTATGTTTGTGTGTTCTCCACAAATCATTTATTTCAGAGGAGGAGGCAATTATATTTCAACGTTGTCTCCTTTTTCTATGCGGTTAACCAAGCTCTTTTCCATCAATCACAATAAATGAATCTTACATAGTAATGTTTTCAGATAGACATACATCTAAAATTGTTCAAGTTAGTGACGTTTGATAAATTTTCATATATATATATATATATATACATATATATATATATATATCATATCGCACATATATTGCTGGTGTTAATAAAACAGTTCTCGATGTAATACATCAGCTATTAAGTACACATTAATAATTATTCATATTATCCCTGAGGGTGCGGGATAATATATATATATATATATATATATATATATATATATATATATATATATATATATATATATATATCAATGTAATGAGAACAAAAGTTAATATATAAATATCTCGTTCACAACACTAATTCAAAAGAGGGCTCAATATCGATAGTAGGGCAATAATTATTTATTATCATTTTTTATAGACAAAAACTATTTACTCACTACAAAGATGCAACTTCGTTTCGATGCATTTATTTGCACCTCGACTGGTAAGAACCAAAACGGTTATAGAAAAAAATTAAGGGACGTTCCACGAGCATTTTGGTTCTATCCAGTCGAGTTGCAACTAAATGCATCGAAAATGCATCTTTGTAGCGAGTAAATATCTTCAGGCCACATCGGCTATATCGTCTATATATATTGTTGTGGATTCCGAGATGAAATCCGGTCTCCAATGAATGACAAACGGGGGAATGAAATATAACAAAGAAATGTATTTACACAATAATACAATTGGTAATACGGTTAGTAGATCCAGAAACGTGGTTAGAAGCAATAATAATATATATGCACAGTCTGGTATATCCAGTCTTGAAGTAGGACTTCCTTAGAGTCTACATGCTTGTAACTGTGACTTCCACAAGCGGTTACCTCACACTATTACTCTACCTCCAACTCAATCACAAACTCAATCTCTCTCTACTCTGACTGACCCTGGATATTTAACGGCAACAGTCCAAGTACACACTGGTCGAGTCCACTTGTATGAAAAAAGGGGTGGACCCCATAACACACACACACACATATATATATATATATATATATATATATATATATATATATATATATAGAGGGCTATCGTCAGATGACCTGACGATTTTGTCTAGCATAAATGTTGCCTCTGAATGTTGACCTCAATGTTCACTTTTATATTTGCATGCGCTCTCTCTTTGAAATTGATCTGTTAATCCCATAAATATAGCATTTGATTGGCAAAAAACATTTCATCAATTTACAGTTGATGTAACGAAAGTTCTATGCCAACAATTTCTTTTCTCGCACATCTTGATTGTGGGACACCCTTCCATTCTATTCTATACAGTCAACTTTTAACTTCAAAAAATTAAATGCAATGTCAATCGCTATTTACTGTTTTCTTGAAATCTCTTTTACGGCATTCGTCCCGTCAAAATGTTTTGTTTTCTAATTATTTCCCACACGGTAGCCTCAAAGAGGTAAATTCGATTAAAATACACATACACAAATATATTCATACACACATATATATATATATGTGTGTGTGTGTGTGTATTTTAATTTAATTGATTAAAATTCACACACATATATATATATATGTGTGTGTTTGTGTATATATATATATATATATATATATATATATATATATATATATATATATATATATATATATATATATATATATATATATATATATATGTGTGTGTTTTTAATCGAATTTAGAAGATATATATATAATCGACTATCCTGTCGAGACTCGACGTATGAGGGTCAAGCAGATCAGTTTCCAGGAAACCGACATCGGCACATGAGATTTGATTATAATGGTGAAGGTTTCGTGCTGGACCATCCACACTTTTTGAAGGGACGAATACAGAGACTTGGTGCACCGAATGCCACAAGGTCCCCAAACGACCCTCCGCAGGTTTTGAATTTTCTGTGTGTATTTTAATCGAATTTAGAAGATATATAATATATATATATATATATATATATATAAAATATATATATATTTTTCAAACGATAAAGAATTGTCATATATATATATATTCATAGTAATTAGACAATAAAATCCAAAATTACATCAATATGGGGAATAGGCTTTTTTCCAAATGTTTCATCAGAAAAGAATGTGGTCAGAATTTATCAATATATATATATATATATATATATATATATATATATATGTGTATAGAGTATATATTCATGTAAATAAAAGAAAAAAGAGAGATTTTTTATAGATACAAATTTAATTTCTGACAGCTACACACACACACAAAAAAAAATATTAAAAATCAAATGCCAACATTTATCCATTTCCTAATGTTTCAG